GAGTTGGAAAACTGTTAATCAGCCGGAGGGTTGCAAGTCAACTTGGCGGATGTTGCGCGTTTCACCCCACCCCTCCAACCGAATAAAGTTTACCCGTCACCTGCAGGTAGGGTGAGAGGTAGGCGGGACCTGCCTTGTCCTATATTCCCTAAAAACGGGTCAAAGTTCAGCATGTATGTCGTATAATATAGAACCGGCTGAATCAGCGTTGAACCAGACACAAAAGCAGGCGGGATGGATGCGCTAAGGCCATTTTCCCGGACTGCGGCATTTCAGATTTCCATAAAATCATCCAATCACTCAAGGAAAGGTACTTCTGAAAAAAAATACTACTTCTTGCTTTCTGTGTCATCATAAGCGACTACTGCAAATCGACTGATAACAACTGTCGCTTGCATTTATTTTAGTCAAAACCATACCATTTCAACGTCAATAATTCCATATAGATGACCATGGCCAGGTCCACCATCGATACCCCAAGCCCACACCGATGGCTACAGCGTACACTATCCCCAACACTGATAAAAGCATACCCGACGCCCTATTAACCAGTAGAACTTCCACTATTGTTACCACAACTTTCTCCCTCCCTTCTGCAACAGCGATGCAAACTAAATTTTAGCCTGTCCACAACGCGATTGCACCTTCACATTACCCGAAGACCTGGTTGGTCACTTGCAAATGCGTTGAACTGCGGCAAACAGTCGGATCCCAGCCGGCCAGTGGACCAGTGCGCGGAGAGCGGAAACCCACACTCGTGAGACGGGGTGGACGCCGTCGAATGCAACGTTCAAACTGCTGCATATGGCAGGTCAACGTCTTTGCCAACCCGCCAATTAGCAACGGGACTCTATTCTGCCCGAGGCGGCTTATATGATGGCCTATGTTCCACTTTTATTTGTAAATTTAATAAGTAGCAAGGACTATTTTTCACGTCCCTCGATCAGTCCATGTAGGAGTTGATAAACAGTAGTACTCAGTGATCGACTATGACCCATGCGGCAGGATATTTGTAGCTGGTTTTAAACTACACCATTTTCTCGCATAAAGTGCACCTTGAAGCAATTTACTACCCGAGTGTAGTGATTTCCAATGGACAAGGACATGAGTACAGCAATATTTATCATAACGACGCACAAAAACCCCGTATAGTACGTCGTTCTCAGAGAAATCAAATTTGTAAATTTAGTACCCCACGGTGGAAAACATTGTGGTCGTGAAAAGTCTTAATAATGCCCGGTGTCCATCTGATAGATTCCAGGTTGCTAGCTTAGGAGATCTTGCTGGGGGCAGTCAGCTTACTGTATCAGAATTGGTGGATTCTATAGGGTGCAGTAGGCTGGGTGGGTAAGTTGACCCAAGTGTGATTAAACTCACGGCTCCCGGTGTGGGGGTCGTGGCTCTAGTTGCTGTACTAAAGCCTTCCAGAAAATAAATCGCATGCACACCTGCCTCACATTACACATGAGTTGGAAGCCGAAACAGGTCATATATGGGCGCCTGAAACACCCTCAACCGCTGCGTCCAATCCCAGCATCCGATAAACCGACAATCAACTTTAGGGACTCCAAACCGGCGAAACCTAAGTGTGTCAGCCGCCATAATAAATCTAACGCGCCTGGATCAAGCAGGGCAAATATAACTTGATGACAGTTGAACTCAATATCAGACCTATTTGCCAACATATTACCCTC